GCCAAAGTGCTTAGCTCAAACAAGTCAGAAAAAATAGCCTAGTAAACGCTAGGAGTCTCATCTCTGTAGCTAGTACCGTTCCCGAGATCCAGGACCCCTGGGACGAACCGGTCAAATCCACAAAAAATTGCTCCCGGAAACTTTTTCCACGCTATTGCTGCTACTTATTTCTTGAAAAATTTCCCTGATTCTCCAANTTGTATCTTTGCATCAAATCATCAAACTTGGTCTCGAGAAACGCGGGTGGAGAAATGATAAACAAACTCGCATCTGAAATCCGGCTACACCACAAGAGCAGTAAAACAGCAACAGCAGCAGCAGCATCATCACCAAATAGAACCAAAAAGAACCGGCCGACCTTGAACAACAACATCAAATGATGATGATGATGATGATGACGGCGATGATGATCACCTCTAACCTCCTCCACTCCTCTTATCACCACCACTGCCAGCTAATAAAAAACTCCAAGCTATATTACTACCTGGATTTCACCCGTAATCGTCTCCATAAAACAGTGGTGGCCATAAAGCAGTGCTGCCTGCCATCACTGTTATCACTGTCCACTGCCAGACCAAGCTCGCAGTTCATTCGAAATCAGAGCGTGCCATTAGGACGCTGCTGATGATGATGGTCATCATCATTATCATCATCTTCAAGGTCTCAACCAACCAAAGCCTAACCAGAACCAGCCTGCAAATCTGGTGTATATAAAGCCAGCCAAAACTCAACGGCAGATCACCTCTCTCCTTCTTCTTCCTCTTCATCCTCTGAGAAATCGAAATCGAAGCTCCTCAAACAGAAGATGAAGTTCGCCCTCGTCGCCCTCCTCTTCGTCGGCCTCGGCGCCGCCTCGGCCCACGTCAACCGCCTGCCGCTGCCGAAGGCCATCCAGGCCCTGCACCCGGAGCTGCTCGCCGAGCCGCTCTTCGAGCACGAGCGCATCGTCGGCGGCGTGAACGCCGTCGCCGGCGAGGCCAAGCACCAGATCGGCCTCTTCCGCTCCGGCTCCTTCAGCTGCGGCGGCTCGCTGATCCAGCCCAACGTCGTCCTCACCGCCGGTAAGCTTTGCTAACCTTTTTGCTCCATTTCGAATCGTTTAATTACCCTCTAACCTCTAACCTCCCTCTCTCTCTCCACAGCCCACTGCGTCGACGGCAGCGAGACCCGGCCCTCCATCTTCACCATCCGCTACGGCAGCCTGAAGCAGACCGGCGGCACGCTGGTGAACGTGAAGAAGATCAACAAGCACGAGAAGTACTCGAGCAGCACCATCGACAACGACGTCGCCATCCTCGTCCTCTCCGCCTCGATCAGCCCCTCCGACAACGCCGGCATCATCAGCCTGACGGCCAGCGCCCCCGCCGCCGGCACCAAGGTCACCGTGACCGGCTGGGGCCGCACCAGCGCCGGCGGCTCGCTGCCCGCCGACCTGAAGAAGGCCGACCAGCTGGTGGTGAAGAGCCAGCAGGACTGCCAGTCGGCCTGGGGCAGTGTCAACGCCATCACCGCGCAGATGCTCTGCGCCCACGACAAGCAGCAGTCGGCCTGCAACGGTAAGCGGCGATGACGCAATGTCAATTTCCAATCGAGGAGTTCGATTTGGCTAATCACACTTTCTCTTTCTCCTCTATTTCCACCCAGGTGACTCCGGCGGCCCGCTCACCCTCAACGGCGTCCTCGTCGGTGTCGTCAGCTGGGGCTCCTCCCAGTGCCGACACGACGTCTACCCGAACGTGTACGCCAACGTCGCCACCCTGCGCACCTGGATCCTCAACAACCAGTCTTAAACTCTAGGATCACCACCAGGATGGAAGAGACGCCCACCAGTGACGCCTACTGCTTCGNTGCTAACCTTTTTGCTCCATTTCGAATCGTTTAATTACCCTCTAACCTCTAACCTCCCTCTCTCTCTCCACAGCCCACTGCGTCGACGGCAGCGAGAACCGGCCCTCCATCTTCACCATCCGCTACGGCAGCCTGAAGCAGACCGGCGGCACGCTGGTGAACGTGAAGAAGATCAACAAGCACGAGAAGTACTCGAGCAGCACCATCGACAACGACGTCGCCATCCTCGTCCTCTCCGCCTCGATCAGCCCCTCCGACAACGCCGGCATCATCAGCCTGACGGCCAGCGCCCCCGCCGCCGGCACCAAGGTCACCGTGACCGGCTGGGGCCGCACCAGCGCCGGCGGCTCGCTGCCCGCCGACCTGAAGAAGGCCGACCAGCTGGTGGTGAAGAGCCAGCAGGACTGCCAGTCGGCCTGGGGCAGTGTCAACGCCATCACCGCGCAGATGCTCTGCGCCCACGACAAGCAGCAGTCGGCCTGCAACGGTAAGCGGCGATGACGCAATGTCAATTTCCAATCGAGGAGTTCGATTTGGCTAATCACACTTTCTCTTTCTCCTCTATTTCCACCCAGGTGACTCCGGCGGCCCGCTCACCCTCAACGGCGTCCTCGTCGGTGTCGTCAGCTGGGGCTCCTCCCAGTGCCGACACGACGTCTACCCGAACGTGTACGCCAACGTCGCCACCCTGCGCACCTGGATCCTCAACAACCAGTCTTAAACTCTAGGATCACCACCAGGATGGAAGAGACGCCCACCAGTGACGCCTACTGCTTCGCCCTAGCCCTTCTCCTCCACTCGTTGTACCTGCTGCAACGTTGGTGGAGGAGGAGGCTAACAACAGACAAATAAACAAATAAACAGACTTTTCAGTTCAGCTTTTTTGTGCAACTTTTTTTGGAGAGAGAGGTTTTTGAGAGGTGGTAATTTGTGTTTAGTAGCCTAAACCAAAAACTAATCACACAGTGTGTGACACAAATCACGGCAATCACGACCTGTGTGCAGAGACTGGTGTCTCGAATGCCAATCGACTCAATCACTGGGGCAATGCAGTAAAAGTAGCATACGAGCAAACATTGCCCGGTCGTCAAGCTTTTTCGCTGTGATAGTGCTCCAGAGAATGAGGGAAATGATCAAAAATGCTCGATGGGTCTAATCGAAACCTAAAAAGTGTCTAAAAACGCTTTATCGGAAGGCATGCTGCGGTACAAAACGAAGGTGCATCGCACAATTAATAGGAAATGGAGGAAAAAGCTTTGGGCACTTATTATTTTTAGGCACATCTCAAAGCTGGTGGAAGAGAAAGGAATGGAATCAAAGACCCGCACAGAATGCGGAGTAACAAAACGGGAGGTAACAGCAAAACAAAACAAATCACAGGACAAACTAAAACGTTTGCCAAAGCTTAAAAAGGGGCAATAATATTGACATTGAAAGACAGGCGAGCAAACAACCAAAGAACAAAAGACAAAACCGGTGCAGCAACAACGACCGTACCAAAGTGGCGGTGCCGTACACTACTACCACTGAAAAAGAGCAGTGTTCCATTGTAGNATACTCACACACACACACACACACACACACACACACACACACACAAATTTGCACCTGATAAAGAGAACCAGTGGTGAAAGGCGAGCAAACTGGTGGTGGTGTGAATGCCAAACTAATGATCAATCACCAATCACAGCAGCCAGCCAGCCCATTGCACATCGGTGGCACTAGCGGCAACCAAATTGGGGATTAAGTGATGATGGCATGGCATTTACCGCCATTTACTCTCATTCTTTCAAGCTGTCTGCTCTCTCTTTCCCAATTTTTTCACCCCCTTTTTCCTCTGCCTGTTCAATTTCACCCTAGCGCCCGTCATTGCCGTCAGAAAGAGTAGTCAGCTAGAGTAGACTGTTGAGATTGTGCTGAGCATCCTGTTGCACGGGCAAGAGAAAGAGGTGGGGGAGGGGGAGGGAAAAAGGGGACATATCCAGGTAACCAGAATATTAGTCTTTGAAAAAGGTAGTGAGCAATCTGCTGCTGTACGGTACCATTACGTGCGAGGATTAGCCGTCCTGACTGACTGACTAACTGTGACTGACTAAGTGTGACGCGCCGGAGGACCTTCTCGTCTCGATGTCGATGGCTATAACATCGACCTGCCAGTCTAGTCGACCCGTCAGTCGCCCTTCTTCTCTCCTCTGTGATTGACGTTATTGGCTTTCTTTTATTAGTGATTTTCAATTACTTGTGCTAATGCTACACCGTTCAAGCAAAAAAATTAAATCAGTGCTCTAAATACTATTAGTTCTTAGTGTGTGTGTGCTTGTGCCAATTACACACGGCAAAAACCTTGTGCTGTACCATCAAGTACAAAAATTATTAAAAAACATGAAGTCCGACTTTCGGACGCCCACTAAGGGGCCACTGTGGCCACTTATCTGGGCCCTGCCACTCCTACTTACTATCCTCAACACCGTCTCATCAGAAAGTAAGTTTTTTAAAAAAGTTTTTTTACTATCGCTCACAACAAGAATCGCTGGAATTCAACCGTTTAACCTAACTTCCCCCCTTTTTCCTAGAATCTGTTTACACCAAAGACTCCCACTGGATTCCCCTAGACAAAAACTTTCCACCAACTACAAATGAGCTCAACTCTCAAGAGCTGAGCCGTTTCTTCTACGCTCGTGGGCAGCTTGACTCTCATATGAATCTTACGGCTGACGCGCTGGCAACCATACTTAGAGAACCTGCTGAAAACTATCACGTCAAATTTCAGGTACTGCATGAGATACTAAAAAATTCTACATCATCACAAACAATTTTTTACAAATTGTTTTAAAACAAAATTTTTGTAGATTTTTCGAAGTAAACTTCAGTGTGTGAAATACTTTGCCGTTGGAAAAGAGAACATCACCATAATTGAAAATGAAGGCGCAGACTGGTCTCGAATTGACCGACACTACACTGCTGAGGAGTTTGTACAGTTTCAACTCTTTCTTTCAGCTGGAAAACAGTGCGAACAGTTGGTAATGGCGATTAAAGATCTTACAGGTAATAACAACAAAAAGCAGTTTCTATCATTACTGATTGACCTAATGTTCTTTTTCAATGCAGTTACCTACAATCGCTATGAAAAAGACACAAAAAATGAGTCAAACAATGCAAACGAGCGACTGTTTAAAGATCTTATTTTTACAAAAACAACTGATGCAGCTGGTTGGCTAACTTTTTTTTACGATTGCAACAAAGCAAATTGCAACTTTACTGTTCCGGCAGATGTTATTAAAAAGGGAGATGTAGACATTAAATTTTGGCACTCGCATAGTAGAGGAATAGAAGTAACCGATGGTAAAAATCCAAAAACTATTGAACCAAATAAAGAAGGTCAAAATTTTATCATTAAAAAAGACACTAATATTATAAACGATTTAGTCGTAAAAATTAACGTCAAAGAAGACATTGACAATTTTCATTCTATAATTGCAATTAATAGTGAGTAATGTTAAATAACTATGCAACTAAATGCTAATAATATTTATTTTTTTTGTAAAGATATATATGTTTCTCAAAACTCCTTTAAATTGCTTGAACTTGATCAAGACACTTTCCTCAAAACCCACCTTGATACAAAGTTTTTGATTGACTATGGACAGGTCGCAAGTGCAGCTGTACTTTTTAATCGCCCAACAAAATCTTTTTCGGAAAAAACCTGTTACATTTTGGACTACATCATCAGCCCAGACAAAAACGTCGTCCTTTCCAAATACCGCCTCTCAATAGAGATTCACGGAGATCAAGCTAACCAAAAATACGTCAATCGCTACGACCTCTTTGACTTCACTCCAGTGGCTGACAACACCCCTCACTCAGTGCACTTTTGCCTGCGCGACTATCTCTTTAAACCTGATGAACTGGGTGCAAAGGGTCAGCTTCTACTCGAGTCAATCAACAGCGCTACAAGCAAAACTCCGGACATTAGACTGGCCATGGTAGCACTGACTGAGAAAGACGACAATAATGGCAATAAAGTGCAGAAATTCATCAAAGCAGATGATGCTGAAAAGTGGGTAAACCAAGTGGCCGAAGCTGCACTAGACCATAAAGAACCTTCCATAAAAGCGGCCCAGCATGAAACCGTCCATCAACTGCGGACAGTGTGGCTTGAAAAACAGGATAAGCTTCACATTAAAGACGTCCACTTGCAGTTGTCTATTGACAGTTCTGCAAGTACAGAAGACCGTAATACGCTGCTAAAGCAGACCGCTCTTTCCGCCCTCGTCTGCGATGACATCAACGAGTGCAGCATCATGAAAGAGAATCACCAGCAAAAGGAAGGCAACCTTGAGTACCGGCTGAACTTTGACGGGCACCCGCGCAAAGAAAGCACTCACTTGAAACTGCAGCTAACGGTGAAACTGCCCAAAGTTTCTAAAGAAGTTCCTGTCAAGGTTAACCTGATTAACTTTGGTAATCCATGCTACGAGAACGCACTCTGCCCGTCAAACGATGCAAACAAGAAGTGTGAGAATGATGCGACAAAAAATCCCGGTTTGGGCGCCAATGAGTTTGCCAAAGCCTGCCAGTGCACACAAGCTGGACATTCAGGAGACAAGTGTGAAGTTGTAAACTACTGCATTGCTAAGTCTGCCGACTCAAAAAATAATTGTGGCATAGCAAATGAAAAAGACATTGCTGAAGTAAACTCCAAATGCCGAAACAATCGAGAAAACAAGGATTTTGAGTGCATTTGTCTATCAGATCCAATGAAAATTGCAGGTCAATCACCTAAACCATGTGTTGAAGATGAAAAAATCAAATCAACTGCTGTTGTAATTGACCCAGAAGAAAACACAAAAACAAAAACCTCAAAATGGAGCTACAATTTAGAATTTATTCGCAAGGACTTTTATGATTTTTGCTTTCAATTAAAACGGAGTGAAAAAGATGACGTCATTGGCACACTTTCACTTGCTCTGCAGCTCAAAGATTCCACGTCAACGAAAATTGAGCTAATTAAATCTCAAACGCTTTTGAATCATCAAGGTCAAGAGTCGGCATTAATCGATGTTTGTTTGGGCAACTTTATTGATTTAGAGACATTTGAAATTGACAAATGGGATTTAGAAATTCAAGTGACAACTGAAACTGAAGTTGCTTGGAAAAAAAGTGATTTTTTGTTTCATGGTAAAGACAAACAAGCACCTAAAGATCGACTAACAACTTTCCCAGAAAATCCTCAAAATAATCTTTATGCAAAGTTATCCAGCAGTCCAAAACAAACAGTTAATATTAATGTTGCGCCAATTGGCACTGGAAAAGTCAAAGTGGACACTTATCTTTTTAGCGACTGGATTGTCAACAACAAGTTTTTCAGTGAAGATCAAATAAAACGAAACAATCTCAAACTGACAGATCTTTCAACAAATCTTCAAGCTGCAGCTGAAATTTGCCAGCCCCGAACAGGTGCCAAACTCGACTGCCAACTGTACGATGAAAGCTCTAATAATCTGCCACAAATTCTAAATTCATTGTCAAGCAACAAGTTTCAAATTAAGCTTCACATCTACACTGCAACTGAGCTAGAAAAAGCTGATTTGAATGGATTAAAAGTAACGACCGAAGTCTCCTTCTGGGACAGCTGCAAACTGGTCGAACAAAATATAGATGGCTGCCACAATGACGCAACTTGCAAAAATTATCAGTCTACGTTCATATGCAATAGTTGTG